TAGGAACCACAGTGAGAAGTATTGATGAGCAATGGGCGTGTTTTTTTTTAAAGATTTATTTATTTATGGGAAAGTCAGATATACAGAGAGGAGGAGAGACAGAGAGGAAAATCTTCCGTCCGATGATTCACTCCCCAAGTGAGCACAATGGCCGATGCTATGCCTATCCAAAGCCAGGATCCAGAAACTTCTTCTGGGTCTCCCACGTGGGTGCAGGGTCCCAAAGTTTTGGGCCGTCCTCGACTGCTTCCCAGGCCACAAGCAGGGAGCTGCATGGAAAGTGGAGCTGCTGGGATTAGAATGGCGCCCAAATGGGATCTTGGTTCGTTCAAGGTGAGGACTTTAGCTGCTAGGCCATGCCACCGGGTCCAATGGGCATGGTTTTTAAAGTAGGAGATAAACCAGTAAAATGCAAGGTGGGCACAGAAATAATTTTAAAAGCAGTGGCTCGTGAAATCAAATAGCTTAGTTGCCGAATCCATCTCATGCCTCAGTAGAATTATTTTTTAAGATTTATTTTTCTCAGAAAGTCGGATTTACAAAGAGAAAGATCTTTCATCTACTAATTCACTCCTCAAATGGCAGCAATGGCCAGAACTGAGGCAATCTGAAGCCAGGAGCCAGGAGCTTATTCCGGGTCTCCTGCACAGGTACAGGGTCCCAAGGCCTTGGACCGTCCTCAACTGCTTTTGCAGACCACAAGCAGAGAGCTGGACGGGAAGTGGAGTAGCCAGGATCAGAACTGGTGCCTATATGGGATTCTGACATGTGAAAGGGAAGGATTTTAGCCACTAGGCTACCATGCCGGGACCATCTCAGTAGATTTTTTCTTTTTTTTTTTAGCTTCTGATGTCAGTTTGTTAACAAAAACAATAAAATTAATTTTTACAGGAATCTTTTTAGTCCTTTGCAAGATAGAGTTTCAGAGTGAGAACCAGAGAGAGCTTATTCACTCCCCAAATGGCCAGGATAGCTGGAGCAGGGCCGGTCGGAAGCCAGAGGCTGAGATCCTCCTCTGAGGGTGCAGGGGCTCAAGTACTTGGGCCATCCTCTGATGCTTCCCCAGGCTGTAAGCAAGGAGCTGGATGGGAAGCAGAGCTGCCAGGACTGGAACCGGCGCCCATACAAGATGCCTGCACATCAGTTGGCAGCTTTATGTGTTCTGCTACAGGGGAGGGGGAGCCTCCAACAATAAAGAAATCTTGAAGGTTGCTACATTTTGATGCACATAGACTTTCTTGGAAAGAAATTCTCTCAACACCGAATTAGGGAATAACAAAGATTTCTATTTCCCTTCCTGAACTGGAGATGCCACCCAGGAAAGCGTGATTTTTGTACCTAGCATGCTGGGATCTGCAGCATTGTTTTTCCTGAATTATGGGAACATCAAGCAGAGCGTTTGAACTTTGACCCCTTTCTGGAAATTTGAGGGCATTGATTCTTGAGTCGGAATTACTTTTCAAGCTTGTGGACACCTACTTTTTTTAAAAAAAGATCCTTCTGCAGTACTGCTATCCAGAACTGTGATGACTCCAGGTGCGCCTGTAGCACTGGCCTCATTCAGTAGCAATCTGAGCCTTTGGAGGAAGGGATGAAGTCCTCCCACCCGGGGTTTCAAAAGGTTTTGAAATGCTAATTCACAGCCTAGAGAGATCCTGACAGGCTGAATGCTATTCAGGTCAATCAGGCACCTTGATGATTATGACAGTGTGAAGGGTAAATTGCTGCTATACCCAAGAAGTCATTGGCATTTCAGGAGAAAGCTTGGGGGGAAAATAGCACCATACATGATGTTGGGGGGAATTACTTTTCTCAGCAGCGCAGGATGGGGGCAATCTGACACCGGTTGTATCTGCAGGTGTGACAACAACGTCAACGCGTAGTAAAAATCTAACAGCATTCCCTAGCATTGCGCTCAGGGAAGACAAAACAGAGAGGTAGAGGTAAGCATTTTCAGACCTCGCTGTGTGTGCCTGTCTGAATTTGAAGGCCCATTTTCCTCAACTGCCTTTCCAGTTTACTGCTGAGAAATCCCATTCCAGAGATAATCAATACTTTTTTTTTTTTTGGTAAAATGCATCTTTTCTATCCATCCCATAGTGTCTTTTGGGTATTGTCATGCCTGACTTTTAACGCTTTGTTCTATCTTTGCATCAGCACGTCATGGTGTTTTTCCTTGCCCAAATGTGAAGGCAAGGTTGAATGCCAGGTATAAAAGAGGTTAGTACAGGTGATTAACAAACATAGTGGTTTAACCAAGGCACCATACATGCTTGGAGGAAGCAGCTGATGTCATAACCCTTTGCTTACGGGAGAGAAAGGGACACCCATGCCTTTCACTTGTCCATCCAGAATGGTGCATTAATTATTGTGTTTTCCAGAATGGTGTGTTAATTATTTCACTTGTTGAATGCTGGCTGCTCCACTTCCAATCCAGCTCTTTGCTAATGCACCTGGGAAAGCCATGGAAGGTGGCCTAGGTGCTTGTGGGCCAGCCCTGGCCACTGTGGCCATGTGGGTATAGTGAACCAGTGAATGCAGGATCTCTCTTTCCCTGTCACTCTGCCTTTCAAATGAATAAACCAGTGTTAATTAAAAAAAAAAAAAAAGTACAAAATATCTTAGTTCTAGAGTTCTCTCCAGAAAGTCTCGCTGTTGCTTGCTCAAGGTCTAATGGGCAGGAGTTGCCAGTTGCCCTCCTTGGAGGAATGGGAAAGAGGGAGTGATATTCTGTAGGTGAGTGAGGCCCAGACAGGCAACAGGGAGAACAAGTGGGCTGAGTCAGCTGTCTTGTGGATGATGAGAAATTGGTTGAGGCTGTTTGCCTGTCAGCTCCATCAGGCTTGCTTGCCTGCCTCCATCCCTTGGTCCCTGCCTTCTCGCTGCTGGCTGCTTGTCCTCTGTGCAGTAGCTCACCTCCGGCTTCTCCCCAGTCTGCCTTGTACACCTGCTCTCTGCATACATCCTGCATGTTCTCATGGAGCCACAAAGAGCCAGCAAAACCTCTGTTTGACCTCTGCAGCCTTGGCCTCGCCTCTGAACTCCAGACTCCCAACTCACTTCCGTTTCTCATTTCTGCTTGGATATCTGATAGGCAGCCTGTCCTGCTAGGGCCAAGTACTGGCAAGAATCAGTCTGAAAATCTTTTTTCAATTTAATTTTATTACGTCTCCCCCTAGTCCCTGCCCCATCAGTGTGTATCTCAAGCATGATCGGTAATATTACCCACTCCTGTCAGCATCTGGCCACCTGGAACGGCAGTGGGAGCCACCTTTTTGGTCCCTGCTCTGTGTATGTGTCCTGTTTGGGCCCATTTTTGCCTGGCATCCATGGGATCCTAGGACAAAAGCAGCCCTGCCTACTGTTAACCCATGAGCAGATTCTGAGTGGCAGTGAGGACACTGTTAGAGATGCTCCATGTCACCAGGTGTTAGAGTACCTGGGTTTGAGTCCTGCCCTATGCTTTGGGACCCCGCACCCATGTGGGAGACCTGGAAGAGGCTCCTGGCTTTGGATGAGCACAGTACCGGCCGTTGTTCTCACTTGGGGAGTGAGTCATCGGATGGAAGATCTTCCTCTCTGTCTCTTCTAGCTGTATATCCACCTTTCCAATAAAAATAAAAAGAAAAAATGCTGATGAGACCGGACAGTGATGCCAACAGTTTGAAAAATAATCAGCAGTCTTTTATTAAATCACACAGGAGGACATAGACACATTTGGGGGATGATGGTTCTGTTAAATATCTTACTCATGAGGCTACTTAAAAATTCAGTTTCTCGGGCCTGACATGGTGACCTAGAGGTTAAAGTCCTTGCCTTGAGCACACTGCCATCCCATATGGGTAACGGTTCTACTCCCAGCAGCTTCACTTCCCATCCAGCTCCCTGCTTGTGGCCTGGGCAAGCAGTTGAGGACAACCCAAAGCCTTGGGACCCTGCATCCGCATGGCAGACCTGGAGGAAGTTCCTGGCTCCTGGCTTTGTGGCTTGGCACAGTACCGGCAATTATGCTCAATTAGGGAGTAAGTCACTTGGGGGAAAATCTTCCTCTCTCTCCTCCTCTCTGTATATCTGACTCTCCAATATAAATAAATCTTTTTTAAAAATTCAGTTTCTGGGCCCGGCACGGTGGCGCAAGTGGTTAAAGGTCCTTGCCTTGCACGCCCGGGATCCCATATGGGCGCCAGTTCTAATCCCAGCAGCCCCGCTTCCCTTCCAGCTCCTCTCCTGTGGCCCCGGAAAGCAGTCAAGGACGGCCCAAAGCTTTGGGACCCTGCACCCGCGTGGGAGACCCGGAAGAGGCTCCTGGCTTCGGATCGGCATAGCATCGGCCCGTTGCGCTCACTTGGGGAGTGAATCATCGGACGGAAGATCTTCCTCTCTGTCTCTCCTCTCTGTATATCCGCCTTACCAATAAAAAAATAATAAAAATAAATCTTTAAAAAAAAATTCAGTTTCTCCTCACAACTTAAAACATGCAAATTGGACACTTTATAAATATGATATTTGTTACACAGGAATTAACCTAAGTAAGTACACGGGAGAACAAAATCTACTTCAGCAACAAACATGTAAGACAGTGGTTGGCACATACAAAGAAGCAAATACTATGGTGCAGTATAAAGGCTAATGTGTTAGGATTATTAACTTCACTAAAATGACAAGTGGCACTCAGGTTTTAAGCAAGGCAATAACGTCACCTGATGGCTTTCAAATGAATAAAATTATGGCTGCAGACCAGACCGTGTTTTGGTGACATAAGGGAGCAGGGTTACTGCAGCATTCAAGGCCAGAGAATGTGATAACCAAGAAAATCAACAAAAAACTGGGACTGCCATTCTCCCTGAGAAAATTACTGTATGAATTATCATTAGTGTTGGCTGAGAGCACACAGTGTACGCCAGATTTCATTCAGTTTTAATACACAGTTCATCTCAGTGCTGAACAGCATGTGCAGATATTACTACGGTACATACGAAAAGGCAAGCTGGGTGTCTTACCTTTACAGTCCATTCGCAGTTCTTCAATTAGTAACAGAGAATTCTTAGATTGAGGCCACTCATATTCCTCTGAGACTATCTCCAGTGACTGGGTTATCTCATCATCTGTGGAACTTATTTGGCATTGACCCTGTTAAATAAGTAAATAAGTTTTAAAGTGTCCTTTCAAATCTAGACAACTATTTATAAATATAGTAATGATGACTCATTCTCTGCATAAGAAAAATGACATGACACATACTTCTCACAAGGCCTGAGTTCTTGTTAAAAAGATGCTGATATAAAGGTACTGGATTTTTTTAATTTCTTGAATTTTGTTCTTCAAAACAGAAGTATTTGCGTAATTTTCTTTTTTTATTTATTTTATTATTTCATGATACAGTTCCATAGGCTCCAGAATTTCACTTCGCCCTCTCCACAGCCCCTTTCCCCCTTTCCACTGATTTCCCCTATATTGCTACAGTAGTATAGTCCTTCATAAAGAGTACTAGGTCCGTCATTCTGCTATTTAAGTGTATCCTGACATTGTAGGTATGGACAATGGCAGAGCATCCAGCATTCTATTGTCAAGATATATTCAACAATTTCATTGGGGGTTCTTCTTTGATTTGGAAGTAGAGATGCATACTGCATTGTATCTTCACATTTGAATGTGATAGTTTCTATTACACAGTTAGTATATACCACCTTAAATTAAAACAGAAAAAATACAGCAAAATAAACAACATGAAGAAAAACAGAAAATTCACAACATCATGAAGTTAAATACAATGCTACTGAATGACTAATGTGTCCCTGAAGCAATGAAAAGGAAATTAAAAACCTACTTGAAGAAAACCTACTGTTTCAATCACACTTCTAAAATAGAGACCTTTACAAAATTCCTGTGTTTTTTTTTTTTCCAATTTACCTTTCACATTTTATTTTGAAATTCAGGCTTTTGTAATACAACACTTTGTCTTCTGTAACATATTTTTCAATATAATAATACATGTTATTATTTTGTATAATACCTGTATAATTCCATTAATCACTTTCCTTGACGGCCTAAAAAACAAATAAGCACTTTCAAAATATCATATATACAAAATTTAAGAAATATACTATTAATACTTTTACATGTCTTTTCATTTATCTTTTACAAAGTACTTTTTGCATAAGAGTGAATGAACATTAATAGTAACATCAGAAAAGAAAAATATGCTGTCAGAAATATTAAAACAAAATAATTTAGTTTATCTTTCTGGCAGTCAAAATTAAATGAAATGTTATTTGCATTTTTAAACATTTATTTATTGGAAAGCTAGAAAAGAGGTGGACTATGTCAGCCAGTGGATTCTGGAGGGATTTCATCGTGCTTGGAATGGCAAGATTGGCAGCAATTCAGAACTGTTGAACTATCAAAACCACTTAAGTAGGACCCTCAGACAGGCCCCACATCAGGGATTCTGGGATGGGTGGGAGGCTAGGTAGGACTTCTCCCTTTCACTAAATCCTAACTGGAAAACGATAATTTTTATGTCTGTGAGCTAACCCTTTATTAATGATGCAGTTATTGATTTATTCAGAACCTACTGTGCAATCAGTAAATATAATTTTAAGTATTGTACATGCATTAAACTCACAATGGTGAGGGTTAAACCTCACAATTCCATGAGAAAAGTAACATATTGGAAATGGCGTGTCGGATTTTATTCCGAGTTTTGGTTCCTACTTCCAACTTACTCAGAGGCAATGGAGACCATTATAGAAATTGTACTGCTGGCAACATGAAAGACCTAGATTAACTATCCTTTCTCACAACCTGGGCCTGCTAGCTTACATTGTAAACACACCCTGAGTGTAAAAGAATTAACAGTCTCCGCCTAAATACTAGGCTGCTATGATAGACAGATATTAATCCCCCACTGCCCTTTCAGGCCTTTTAATTTTTAAATTCCAACTGTCCCCAAAACTATACAGCATTAAACAGCTCTTTTAAGACAGACACGCCTAGACATCAGTCTGTACAATACAATACATTTCAGCGTTATCTGATTTATTTATAATATTGATGATTTGTAACACCATGGCCAGAATTTTACAAAATCCATTATATCTGCTACCCATTTGTTTTAATTATTTTGAAAAATTACAAATGACGGAACATGCCTGAAAGCAGATAATCTACATCCATTTCACCAAGGAAGTTTCAATGAGAAACAAACCACATTTCTAGAAGACTTAGGAAAAGTTTCAGTGGATAATTGACAGGGACAACAAACAGCAGACTAAAATCCAGCCTAGAGAGGAAAACCAAAAAATTCTGTTTCTCCTACCCCAGTGTCCTAGCCAGGCAACACAATCTTGCTGACATTGTGGTGTAGTATGCAAAGCTTCAGCCTGAGGAGTTCTTGCCACAGGGTCTGGGAAGCAACATCACAATCCCAGGCATCACCTTGGATGTCCTGCAAGAACTGGGGCCATCTGCTCTAGGACCCCAGGGACTGTGCTGGTGGTGGTACTATGACTCCTGAAGTAGCTGGCTCTCTCCTGTGTCAACCAGAGGGCTCTGCCTACACCCCACTGCTACAGACTGCTTACTCAATTCACAATATCTGGAATAACTGGCCTTCAACCTGAGAGAAGTGCTTAGGTAAAGATCACACTGCATCCTGCAGCACTGTGACAATTGGTACTATTAGCACTGCATACCCTAGAGTAATTGGCACAGAATCTATAAGACTAAGGGAAGAATGTGCTGTTTCAATCAAAAACTGCTTGTATACAACCCTCTGCATTGTCCCTTAGTCACTCTGTGCAATTGGATAAAGTCCCCTTAATATCTCCAAGGGTTGGGAATTGGGCTTTCAGTGCTAAGTCCTAGAGTTATTGAGTCCCACATTGCCAAAACTTGTGGTATCGCCATCCACATCATACAGTCTGAAAGCCATAGTCATTGGAGCAACAGGCTTAGCATCACTCTTGCTTATTGAGCATGAAAAGGGGAAAAGGGCCTCTGTGTCCTATAGCATCAGAAACATGACTACAAATTAAAACAAACAAACAAAACCTTCCCGTTGGGTATACTTGACACCCAACACCCTAGGGACTAAAAATACACCCGTGGAATGCCCTGCCCACGCCAGTAATATGACTGCCTCCACATACGGCTGCAGACTAGGTAAGTGTGGCTCTTGCAGACTCTGCAGACATTGATTATTGGAGAAGAAATCAGTCAGGAGTTACATTGTGACAGTCAAGTATAACAAAAGCCCAATCAACAATTCAAGTCACAGACATCATTCAAAAAAGTCTTTTCCAGTGAAACCTATTCTAATAAAAATGATCATGGCAGTTTTGGGGTTCTCCATTCCAAGCTGGTGAGCAGTGGCACATTTTCGGTTCAGGGTCCAAAGCAGGCGCTGAAGGTCATAGGCCTCAGTGAGGAAGTGAACATGGAGACCTGAGAGCCCAGGACACTGGGATGGGGAGAGGGCCAGATGTGCCAGGACAGGTAGCTGTGGCCACATCTTGTCATAGACAAAGAACAGGAGGAAAAATCACTATGCTAAAAAAAAAGTTTAACCACATGAACCATATACACTGCACCAACTGGATGTGGTACGTGCCCAAAGACAAAGCCAGCAAGAAGTTCATCAATCAGAACGTAGTGGAGGCCAGAGTTGTGAGGGAACTCTCGGAAGTGAGCATGTTCACCACCTACATGCGTCCCAGTCTGTACGTGGAGCCGCACCATTCACAGCCAGGTGGTCAGAAACTGATCTCGTGAAACCTGCTAAGACTGGACCCCACCACCCTGATTTCAGACCTGCTCATGTTGCTCCACAACCTCCACCAAAACTCATGTAAGCAGCATGGTCTTTAACGGCTGAAGAAAAATTGTCCTCTAGAAAAATAAAGTGGAAACTTAGGCTTTAAAAAAAAGCATGGCAGATATACTTATGTCAGTGCAAGAACATAGGAAACATGAGGAAACAAAGTAGTATGACTACTCTAAGAGAAGTCAGTCATTTTCCAGAGATAGACATTGATCTGTATGAAATCTAGACAAGTCCTGAAAAAGAATTTAAAATAATGAACATAAGACAAATGAGATGTTACAGACTGCAGAGGAGCAGATGGAAGAAGTGATGAACTGGAACCACAGTAGCCAGACCCAAGCCGTCACTGTGATGGGGAATGGGAGCATCCTCAGCTGCAGCTTAACCAGCTGCACCACACTGCCTGCCCATGCAATTCTAATCTTAACACACCTTTCTAAGCAATTCCCCAAGTCCTTGTCCTTTCTTCTTATGCTAAACCTTGGTCATAAAACTGCAATTCTGATGATCCTGTTACTATTATTTTTCTTAGAACTCAGTCTTTAACTCTTAAATATATTCTTATCTTATTCCATTGAGTATGACTGCTAATTCTATTTTCATCTGTCCACTGGGTACACTAGTTCTACTTTTTTTCCCCACTATTAAAATATATCTAGTTGATAACAAATAATGCAGAGCTCTTGGATTAGAATCAAGAAACCTAAGTTAATATTTCATTTCTGCCAAATCCTACACCTATATAAGCCATTATATACTGTTTGAATTCCAGGTATCCCATCGGAATAACCATATGAATTGTGTGTTAAACACATGTTGGAGTAATGAAAGATATTTCATTAGTCTTCAAGATTCCCTACAATTCTAAAATCCTATGTGTTTTTCATTCTGTCCACAGAAAAGTGGGAATATTTTAACTAGAAGAAGAAAGAAAAAATCAGGACAGAAGAAATAAGAAAATTAGAAAACAAAGTAAAGAAATCAAAAGAACATGAGAGTCATGCAAAATTGAGTTAAAAATACACTTCATTATAGTAAAGCTGAAATATAAGCCAGTAGATGAAGCAACTACCAAACTGAAATACAAGTAGAGAAATCAACTAGAAATATCCTATAACCACATGCTATCTATAATGAACACAACTCTATGTAAATATCTCTCACTAACAGTAAACTAGTTCCTCCTTAGAGCTTACCTAATACTGCTTATGTTCTTGCTTATGACCTGCGATCTTGGAATCAAATCACAGATCTGTCCTAAAAGCTAACATGATAGAAACACACTGGTTGCCACTATAAGTTGTCAGTATAAAATCTCTAAAGCAGTTATACATAAGTGACTTTCAGAATTTATCTGAGTTGTAGCTGTGTCTTCACCCAATGCTGCACAGATTATTGTTAATCTAGCCTAAGGATCAAAAGAATGTATTCGGGAACCAGGCTGACCACCAACTAATAGGTCAGAGACTTGTTAACTATAGAATTATGGGCCAATTAATCCACTATGCTGAACCACAGTTGTTTAATTAAAATAAAAACTAACTATGACAACCTATCCTTTTTAAAACTACTGTTATCACTATGAGAAATCACCATTGTTAACCACATTAAACAATATGTAACTCAGACTACAACAATCAAGAAATAATGAATTTTTCATCTCTGCTTTTTTTTGTAAGATAGGCTCAAAATATTCTGAAAACTGGTAGTGATTTCTCATTAGGGTTCATTATGGAAACCAGATCACCTAAGTGTACAAACACATTAGGTTGCCTGCTCTGGGAAACAGTGACATGGACATTCCATAATCTAAGAAAAAGGTGCTACCCAAAACAAAAAGACTTTTGCATAAACATCGAATATAAGAAAGAAAATTGATTTTTACAACATCGTATGAACTTGACAACTAATTTCCAGCAAATAGTATTTTCCAGCAGGAAAGACAAGAATTTCAAATGACAACACTCCATGCAGGTCTAGGCTAAGATGTGGGATCCATATGAGATATTTAATTTTTTTTTCTCATCTTAATTATCAGGGAAGAGATTTTCTATCCACTGTTTCACCCCCAAATGTCTGTCACAGTGTGGGCTGAACTCAATGGATCTCCCACACGGATGGCAGAGATACAGGACTTGAATCTTCATGCTGCTTCCCTGGCTGCTCACAAGCAGGAAGGTGGTGCTGGCACTCAGACTCAGCACTCCTGCGTGGGATGCGGCTGTTCCAGGAGGCATCTTAGCCTCTGTGCCAAATATCAACCTCAGGATGATTTGTTTGTTATGTTGGCAAATAAACCTTCAGAATGCTTTTGAGTTGATTCTCAGTAATTTCTTTGTAGCATAAAATTAAAAAGAAGTTATCCAAATTATTGAGAAGAATTTGGGTTTCCTTCTTGTACTTTTCTCAGTTTGTGTATTTTAAGTTTCACCCATCAGCAACTTCATTTTATGACCATCTGCCTAGTTTGTTCTAGTCAATATCCATTTCAGTTACAGCATCTTTTTTGTATTCATACGAAATACAACCAGTATCAAGTTCCAAATTCTTATGTATTATTTGGTGGCTTTTAAATTTCCTATTAAGTTCCATCATTTGAGTTTTCAGTAAGCAGCAAATGATTAATTTGTGCAACGTTGATAGCACATTTTCAAATCGATAACAGCAACTAATGTTCTCACAAGAGTAAAGACAAACGGTAGAGGTAACAAAGAATTGTAAAACCCTATTATGCTTATTTTGTTTATGTAAAATAGATAAACACCCAAGCAGCTGACAGAGCCACCTGAGCCCCGGCATCCTCAGTCACAGAATTGTCCCTGGCAGGGTTAGCACCCAACCCTGCAATACCCTCCCGGCTAGCAGTCCCCATTACCAGGTCTGGTCTCCATGGTTCCTGCCTCTCGTCCTGATCTTCGGGAGCTGTTGTTCTGTTCCTTCATCCCCCTCGTTGGCTGCTGCAGGTGGTTTCCTGATATCCTCCTCTGGGAAGCGATCCCCGGGCTGTGATTTCACCCCACTCGCCATCCTCACATCAGATGACTTTCAAGAGACACTCGCCCTTAAAATGGAGAAAAGAACATTTATGGCGAGACTACCGGCGTTTCTCCCACCCTGGAGAGCCCAAGGCCAGCCCAGCAGATGAGCCAGAGGTCTCACCTGGATGTCCCAACTGAAATGCCAGGCCACACCCAGCATTCCCACAATCCAGCCTCACAATGACTGTTGCCAAGCAACTCCCTTAACGCATGCGCCCTCCTGCGCCTCTAGAGGGCGCGTGCGCAAGTCAAGCTGGTGGTCAGGAATAATGAGGGCTTGTTTGTAGGGCTCACCCACGTTTCACCTGAAAGCACAAGCTTTTTATTCTTCAGCAGGAAGCCACTATAGTGTCTGGATCTATGCCTAGGTCATGTCAGCTGAGCGGAGAGCTGCCACTTTGTGTTTCTCTAGGTCTAAGTGCTGGGATGGGCTGTGCAGGAGGCAGGGCTTATGGGCAAGTGAGGGCGGAACAGCATGCATCAGGGTTTTCCAGGCTGCATGTTGTTGCTTTTGTAAAGATTTGGTTTTTTTCTTTCTTTTTTGTTTTGTTTTGTTTTGTTTTGTTTTTTTATTTGAATGGCATAATTACAGGAAAGGAGAGAAAAAATGGCGATGGTTACATCAATCTCCCATCCAGGTCTTTCTTGTAGGTATTGGAGTCCAAGTACTCTGGCCATCTTTGGTTTCCTTCCCAAGCATACTAGCAGGGATCTGGACTGTAGCTTCCGGCAAGGGTCTTCCCAGCTTTGAGCAACAGTCTCTTCTAGAAAATGGGACTGATTTAATGCTCTTTTCCCAGGGTGGCAGGAAGGTGACTGGAGTAAGGTAAAGAACAGCTCCCTTATCCTACACTGCTCATGACCTCTACCGTCCCTTGGTGATCCAGGCTGCCCTTGTTGCTGGCAGGTCCTCACATGGTACATGTTAGGAGGCTGAGGAGGCTGGGAGAGAATCGCAGTGGTTGGCCTGAAGCCATAGTTGGCACTCCTCTGCCTTTGTTGGGATGGCAGGCACTGTTCATTGCCTCCAAAAGGGGCTCCTCCGTCTCTAAGTCTCACCTGCTGGGACAGCTGCAGGTTTAGGCTTTCCCAACCCTTGAAGGTGTGAGAGGTCTTCCTGCATCTATGCAGCCCAAACCACACTTGTACAGCTGTGCAGAGTGTGCTCATCTCCCTCACCTGAAAACCAGGCCTGCGGTGACACAGATCCTTGCTTGCATGATCACCCTGGCTATACAGCCAGCCAGGTATGTGACACTTCCATGGTTGTTCCATGGTGTGGTATCAGATCTGTGAGCCCAGATGAATTCAGTTTGCATTTTCTTTTAAACAGCTTACAGTTTGCACCTCTCTTTCATCATCATTTCATATCACAAAAGGTCACAATAGCAGGGCCAGGCCACATTGAAGTCAAGAGCTGAGACCTCCTTCCCGACCTGTCATGTAGATGTCAGAGCCCAGACACTTGAACCATCACATGCTACCTTCTTAAGTGAATTAGCATGGACCTGGATGAGAAGTGAAGTAGCTGGGGCTCAATTACAGCTCCGACATGGGATGCTAGCATCACAGTGAGGTGACATAACCCACCCACTCTGCCATCACACATCTTCTGAGATTCTTTGCCCGTGTAAATGGCTGCCCCTGCATGTGAGCTGCACTCACTCATTTGCCTCCTGTGAATAGGGGTGATGAGAATAGCGCTCAGAATTAGGGGAATTAAAAAAAACTGTGGCTTCCCTCTTGTTCTCACTCTTTGGTTGATTGGTTTTTGGGAAAGTTAAAAGTCCCATTAGCTCCTTCTGAGGAGCCCCACATGACAGGGTACTGCATCTCATCTCTGGCTGATGACTGCCAAAAGCTGGGACCCTTGGACCAAAGACCTGTGAGGAAAATGAGTCACACTGACTGCAATGTGAGTAGACTTGGAGGAAACTGTTCCCACAGTTGGAATGGTAGGTTTGGATGATCCTGTGAATGTGGGCTTCAGAGACACCTTGTGGCAGAAGGCTCAGCCACATTTCAATTTTTGACCCAAGGAAGCAGCTGTGCGAGAATACTACCATATTAAGTTTCTAGCCATTGTTTATTGTGGCTATTTTTAAAGTAAGTAAATGTTTAGCAGATGTAAACTATTCAATTTTGCCACCAAGTATCAGTAAACATAGTATTTGCTAGCATATTACTTTCAAGTTAAAATAACAAAAATAAACACCAATAACTATAATGCTTTTTTTTTAGATTTATTTATTTATTGGAAAGTCAGATATACAGAGAGGAGTAGAGACAGAGAGGAAGATCTTCCATCCGATGATTCACTACCCAAATGAGCACAACAGCCGATGCTATGCCAATCTGAAGCCAGGATCCAGGAACTTCTTCCGGGTACCCACATGGGTGTAAGTTCTTGAAATATTTGGTAGAACTCAGCAGTGAAGCCATCAGTCTTAAGATTTTCTTTATTGGGAGGGGTTTAATTACTGACAATCTCCATCCTGGTTATAGCTCCACTTAGGTTTTTTTCTTTTTTCTTTTTAATTGCAAAATAGATATACAGAGAGGAGGAGGGATAGAGAGGAAGATCTTCCCTCTGACGGTTTTCCTTTTTCATTTCTGATTTTAGTAATTTGTGTCTTCACTCCCTTTTTCATTAGATGGACTAGGAGTATATCTATTTTGTTAATTTTTTCAAAGGTCCAGCTCTTTAATTGATCTTACACATTTTTCTTTTTGTTTCTCTTTGGTGTGTTTCTTCATTTTTCACTCTTTCTGCTAATATTGGGTTTATTTTTCTGCTGCTTCCCTCCTCCTTCAGATTGTTCAATTTCCAAGTATTTGCATATTTCCTGGGGCTTTTCAACCTATTAGTCTCCAGTTTCATTCCATGATGGTGGGAGAAGATTCTTGGTATAAATTTGTATTTGAAAAAAGTTTGCGGAGGCTTGTTTTCTAGTCTGTAATGAGATCAATCCTGGAAAAGGTGCTGTGCATTCTATGTCTGTAGGAATAAATGTTCTGTAGTTATTAAGTCCATTTTTTCAGTTGTGTGGGTGAGTCCTGCTGTCTCCTTACTGAATTTGTCTCATTTGTGTCCACTGGATTTAGTGTGATGTTAAGGTTCCCAAGCAGTATTGTATTGGGAGTCTATATCTCTCTGTTTCACATAGCTGGGTGTGCTGGAATTGATTGCACAATATATTTATTACCATTATTTAGTTGTACGTTGGCTCTTCCAAGACGTTCACCTCATCCGAGAAATCCCTGAGTCCTTTGCAGTGGTGTAGACACATCCTGGATAACCCGACTCCTGAAATGGAAACAGTGAGGCGTTCCCTGTGCTTTAGACTGGTGCAAGGTAGAAATTCTCTTGATGACTTGTGACGATGAAGAAATTCCTGTGCTCCCAAATGTCACTGGCTTTGCTGAATGAATGTTTAAAGTTAGCATCTTGTCTTCAGTTTGGGGCAGTGAGTGGAAACAAGTTGGCAGTCCAGAGAACTGTCCTGTTCTGACTGCATTTTGTAGCTCGATCTACAGATCATTGTCATACTTGGAATGATCTGTGGTTAATATCAACAGATGAAAGATGTCCTTGCCATTTTAGCATTGCGTTTCTCAGTGTTTGATTTAAGTTTCTTTTGTGGTTTCACCGAGATGCTTCCCACTTTTTCCTTCTTTGGCTATGGTAGATCCCCTTTTTTTTCTATAGGTAACACATCTTTTAGCAAAATTGTACGGTTGGTCTATTAGGGGCAAATTTTTTAAGTATTGCATTGCTTTGTACGTGTTTTATTTCATGTCCAAACATGAATGAAATCTCTGCTGGGTATGTTATTCTGAGCTGACTGTTCTTCGTTTTTCTTTTCTTGTTTATTTATGTGTTTTTTTTTTCTTTTAGGATCTGAAATATGTCACTCCATTTTCTTCTGGTCAGTGGTGAGAAGTCAGCTGTGAGTCTGATTGGTGCTCCTGTATAGGCTGTGCAATATTTCTTGTATGAACGTCTGTGTATTTTTTTATGGCCAACTGACGAGTATTCAACTGTGACATCCCATGGTGGAAATCACTTTTGGTCATGTTTCTTGGGGATTTATGTCCTTCTTGTATTTAGGTTTCTGATTCTTTCCTTGTGTAAAGGAAGTTCCCAAATTTTTAATTGAATACATGTTTTAATTCAGATTCTACTTCCATGCATTTAGGGACTCTTAAGAACCAGATAGTTGGCCTTTTGATGGTTTCACATAGTTTCCGGATATTTTTCTTAACTTTGCTCAGCTCCTCTAACAGATTTCTTACTAGGCATTTTTGTCTGTATTTCCTTCTGGCTCTTAGGTTATTTATTCTGCCTCACTGATCCTGGCCTGTGTGAGGTGAGGACTTTAGCTGCTAGGGTATTGCGCTGGGCCATTAAGCACAATCTTGAGGGTGATTTATGTCCAAGAAAATACTTTGTAACAGGAAAACCACATATCCTCTTTCCACCGCCAAAGTGTCAGATTCATGCTGCTACTGGGAAGCTGCAAACCTCCACCTGCCTTAACCTCCATCACAACCAGATGCCCCTAGAACAAGTAAGGGAAAATTCCAGGAGAGAGCAGGCCATTGTGACTCCTACTACCATGGCAGTACTGGACCAAGGCCATGAGCCTGCTCTATGACAACTAGGGAATTTCCCAGGGCTACTTGGAGATAAGTGTTATGGCAGTCAAGATTCAAGATAAGAGGTCCACACCTGAGGAAATACACTCCAAAGTTCATACCACAGGGTGCTGGAGGTCACAGCACAAATCCAGGCATCACCTGTGCATGCCCTGTAGGAACTGTGACTGTTGCTGATGGTGCTATAACCTCTGGAATAGCTTGTACTTAACTAGGAGCTAAAGAACTTTGCCACTATTTCTGTTTCAAACTGGTTACTGTCACTTTACAATGACTAATGAAAGTGCCATTTATCTTGTGAGTTTTGGGGAAGGAACACACTGTATACCACAGCTCCAGGCCAATGCCAGTCAGTATTATATTCCTCAGAGTCCTTAGAACAAACTCTGAAGTATTGAGGGAAGAATCTACTTGCATATCATTTCCATAGGCTAACAAATGAAAATGAGGAGTTTTTAGGTGAATATTCTGTATTCACCACAAAGGCTTGGACAATGTCTCCTAAGGGTTAAGAATTGGG